TATTTGACATGTGCATTACCCGTGACAAGATATTTCCAAGCACGCTTTGATTTCCGACTCCTTGACCTTGATCTGCTTGATTGACTTAACTTTTGGGGATGACCGCGTATGGCAATATAGCGAAGATTAAACTTTTCCTTAATGCAAATTCAATTATTACCCAACGTATGGTCTTGTCACAAGAAATACGATTGTGAAATACAAAATCCCTAGCATCACCTGTTCAAAAGTTATGGCCAAGGATAAATTTTTGAAAGATAGATCAAACTCTATAAGGTCAAAGGGTCTAAGTTTTTGGTTTCTTAAGTCGTTAGCTTGTCACAAGTAATACATATGTAAAGGATGAGAACCCTAACCCTTGAAAACTTATGGCTAAGGATAAAGTTTTTTAAGAAGCATGTCAAAACTCCAAGGTCAAGGTCATTTTTGTCATCCAATGAAAGGTCCTGTCAAAGGAATAAATATGTGAAACATGAAAGCCTTAGCCCTAACCCTTTAAAAGTTATGGTCAAGGTTTGTTTTTTAAAAATAGGTTAAACTCAAAGATCAAGGTCAAAGTTCTTGGCGTCTAATGAAATGTCTTTGCACAAGCATTACATACATGTATCTGGAGTATGAAAGCCCTAGTCCTTAACATTCAAAAGTTATGACCAAGGTTAAAGTTTTTTCACAAGTATGGAAATTTCCAAGGTCAAGGTCAAAGTTGTTGGTATCCAATGTTGTTGGTCTTGCCAAAAAGAATACATATGTGAAATATAAAAGTCATAGTATATATCGTTCAAAAGTTATGGCCAAAGTTAAATATGTTTAAAAGTCTAATGTCAAGGGGTCAAAGTATTTGATATCCAATGTAAGATCTTGTCACAGGGAATAAATATATGCAGTATGAAAGCCCTAGAACTAACCATTTAAAAATTATGTCCAAGGTTTGTTTTCTTAAAATGGGTCAAAGTCAAAGAGTCCAAGTTCTCTGTATCCAGTAAAAGGTCTTTTCACAAGGATCACATATGTGAAGTATGAAAGCCCTAGCCCTTACATTTTAAAAGTTAATGCCAAGGTTTGTTTTTAAAATAGGTCAAACTCCAAGGTCAAGGTTTTTGGTATCCAATGAAAGGCCTTGCCACAAAGAATACATATCTCAAATATGAAAGTCCTGGTGTATACAATTCAAAAGTTATGGCCAAAGTAAAAGTTTGGAATTTTTGTGTAATAGTGGGTGAAACTCCAAGGTCAAGGTCAAAAGGTCAGATTTGATTGTACCAAAAGAAAGGACTTGTCACAAGACGGACGGACACTCTGACAGACTGACGGACGGACAGACGAATGAGAAATAATGTCCCCTCGTTTTCGCAAAAGCGGGGGGCAAAAATACTTTAATTTCTTTGAACTCAAAAATGTTAAAAGAACACTTTTATTTCGTTAGTTAAATTTAGTATATCTCTACTATGTGAGTAAAAGTCCCAACATGATCATTAAACTATTTCTATTTGATATATGACAGAATTTTGTATGAAAGAATGATTTTTTTACGATTGTATAGAATTCTAGAAAATAGAATTTGGGAACTCTCTTCATCCATAGCGATGAAAAAGTTAAAATATCACATAAAAAACCACAGTTTTCATTTAAATTGTATTTCGCAAAGATACTGTCTTAAGAGCACGACTACTGGGCAGTGGAGGAAATCTGACGTGGTACCATAGTATTCCATGTGACAACCTCCAAACAAATTATCGCATAACACAATCCTATTTTTGTCTTCGATAAAGATGTCTTTTTAACTTCCTCCCTACATTCCAAGATCCAGCTTAATATTCTGTAAAATTTATCGATATGTTTTAGACAATTATGGCACCTAAAACAAATCACAACAAATACAACTGTCCTTCAAGATTTCCATTACTGTCTTTTTTATTTCTTCTGACGATCAAAGTCTCTACTTCTCTTGCTGGGTCAGGTAAACACCTGTTACAAATAATAAAGTATATCATTGCCATGCTAAGTGTTCACTTTGATATCGAGTTTTGAAATTGATAAATGTAAATAAACTATAAAATTCAATCACTCAATAGATAAATAGAATGATAAACGGATAGATAACTTGTTTCCTTGCTCTTACTTGGAGATATTTTTTCTTCAGGCAAATGAAAATGGCTAAGTTCTTTCTTTTTAAGTTTTCCAAATCTACCGAGCATTCTTTGATATAAATCGTTCAGGTCATCAAATTCGGTCTCCCCATCAAAATATCTATTCCACGATAAATGCACCCTTTCAATATCAGCTCCCAATTCTTGGTCTGTTTTGTCCGGTTCGCGGTCCCATTCCCGTTCTGGTGGATTTATAGCTTTACAATTACGGAGAAGATAATAAACAATCGACAAGTCAATGCTTTCATAATCTTTCCAAGACTGTACATTATATGAAGGTTTCAATAGAATCATCTAAAGAAGGTTTTAATTCATTAATGTTTTCTTTTAATTTTTTCAATGCCGAGATAGTGCTTTAAACAAATAACAAGATAGCGCAAGATAGCTTTAAATTTCCACTTTATGTCTTCTTCTTCTTCAACTGATCCATCATCTAAAAGAGTAAAAGATGTTTCAAGATCCATGGGTTCTGCATTCCGTTAACAGCAACCTATTTTTGTATTCATATTAAACAGACCGTATTTATGATATTATATAGAGAATAATACATACCCTTTTCCATATTGCATCCTGTATCAGCCCGAGAAGGGACTTCATATTTGGTAGGCATACTTCTCTAATTAAGCTCTTTCAAATGACACCAAGGGCAATGGCCTTGTGACCTTAACTGTGACCTATTTGCTTTTTCTGCAAACTTTAACCTTCGCCGTAACTTCATATTTAGTATGGATACTCCACTAATAAAATTCTTTCCAATGATACCAATGTCAATGATATGTGCTACAAATCGCTTTTTGTCTTCAAACTTCAAACTTCGCCATAACTTTTGAACTATGAAAAATAGAGACTTCATATTTGGTATACTTACTTTGCTCATTAAGTTCTTTTGAATGTCACCAAGGTCATTGACCTTGTGACCTTGACTGTGACCTATATGCTACTAAAATAGCTTTTTTGAACTTCAACTATAACTTTTGAACTATGAGAGATAGAGCCTTCATATTTGGTATGCATACTCCATTAATCAGGTTCTTTCAAAAAATACCAAGGTCAATGACCTTGTGACCTTGACTTTTTTGCTAAAAGTAGTTTTTTCGAACTTTGTGCCGCCGGGCGCATTGTGTTTCACAAACACATCTTGTTTTTTTTTTTTTTTGCTTGTCAACTTTTTCAGGTAAATAAAATGCTTTTCTCTGGTTGGCCCCAAACTTTCAAAAACGATGTTACAGGTTGGGATTATAATAATTTCACACACAATAAATCTAGCAGTATGCAGTAAACTAGTTTACGTTCATATATACATATCAAAATGCAAATATAAACGAGCTTAAAAAATCATCAATTCATAGACATACCTTGGTATGTGCATTTTTATACATTGACACGTATCTGCATTCATATTTACATTGAAATTATATGCACATTATAATTTACACACCGACACAACGAACCCACTAATACTTACGCACACCAAAAATGTTTGTCACTTATATTTGAAGAAGTATACTTTTTGGAAATAAATTTTAGTAAAATATAAAAATACGGCAGATGAAAAACGAAAGTGAAATAGAGGTTGACGCGATGTATTCATCAATATTTTTAATAAAGGATACTCAAAATATATTTGACTTTTCTTAAACAAGAAAACTTTGAATTCTTCAATTGAAATAAATGTATGAATTATAAGATTTTTTTTCTATATACACCGACCTCTTATCTAAAAATAAATTGCGTAACATTTCTTCATTTTTTTTATATTAACAGAGAATTAAAAAGAGAACAAGCTGGTATTTCATCTTTCTCGATTTAATCTCAACAACGGTACCTTACACCGTCACTGTAAACTCGTGGGCCCACGATCACCGCGATGAGAAAACCGTGACGGTGGAAAAGATTAAAACACCATCGCGGGGTCGCGGGAAAATACGGGATCCGCATAGACCGTAATGCCTGATTTTTCCGACCAAAAACAACTCATTACTGCGACATATTGAATCAGCCCAAAACAACTCATTACCGCTCATATCGATTTAGCCAGTTATGGTTCTTTGTTGACCACACTCACTCACCGTGAGCTCTCTGTTCTCAAAATGATATTAAATGATTGCCTTATAATTGGTTTAGTCAAAATATTATTCATCCTCGCTATGACAGGGGTCTATCTGCAGAAACTGGTGTTATGTATAATTTTTGACCATAGACCAAATCATTAAATCATGGAAAGTTTCTGCAGCTACTAGGCGTCCCAAGTCGACATTTCAACATGTTTTCTCAGGACCATTGACAATGAGAGGATTTAAATGTTATGCAGCAATAAGTTGCATATTATTTAACAATGCAAACGAGGTCTCTACAATTACATGTATATACTATGGTGTCCGGAAAGGGCCATTTGCAAAAGCTCAACAGCGTGTTCAGACACGCCGACGCGCTAACACACAACTCGCGAAGACGTGTAGTGTGTTAGCGCGACGGCGTGTTGCTTGAAAATCGGGTTAGCGAAATAGCGTGTTGGCGTGTTGCTTGAAATTGCGTTGGCGTAAAAGCGTGTTAGAGTGACAGCGCGTTGTGTGTTAGCGCGTTGGCGTGTTGTTTGAAATCGCGTTGGCGTAAAAGCGTGTTGTGCGAACTCGTGTTAGCGTGACAGTGCGTTGTGTGTTTGCGCGTTGGCGTGTTGCTTGAAGTTGCGTTAGCGTGACAGCGTGTTGTACGAACTTGTGTTAGTGTGACAGCGCCTTGTGTGTTTGTGCGTTGGCGTGTTGCTTGAAATCGCGTCAGCGTGACAGTGTATTGTGCGAACTCGTGTTAGCGTGACAGCGCGTTGTGTGTTAGCGCAACGGCGTGTTTTTCTAAACGCGCTGGTGAGCATTTGAAAATGGCCCTATCTAGACACCATAATATACAGTATATATCAACCGTAGAGAAATTACGCCTTTATTTTTCGTATTGAGAGGACAAAATAAGCTGGAGTTAGTGTAAGTCACGTATGTATTCCATTAAGATTTGCAAAAGAAAAATAGATTGAAGTGAGGCGACGATTGAATTGACCGATATGTCTTATATCGACATTACTGAACTAGTGAGGGTCAATTGGTTTAAGGCCGAAAATACACGATGTCCAGCGTACAAATACGCACTGCCCTGGGAGCACATACTAGTATCTAGTTCTATGGTATCTTCGGGCTTCGTTAAAATGTTGTTTTTAATCCAGTGATAAATCATTAGAACAATTAGGGCAGATATCATTAATCTTTAGATTCTCATCCCCGCCCGCCCCTCTCAAATTGGCCCGCCCCGATGTTTTTTATTTTGATTTTTGAGTGTTAAAAGTATATTTTTATTACCGGCCGCCAGGAGGCGGTCGGTTATATGATATGAAAGTTTGAAGTCGCTGTGCGTTTCTGCGGGCATACTCTAAAACCTGGCCTGGCCCCTTTGGCCTTACCTGGCCTCTAAGGTGGCCTGGCCTCTAATTTGGCTAAAATCAAATTTGAGGCCAGGCCAAAATTTGGTTTGAAGCCAAATTAGAGGCCAAAATAGAGGCCAGGCCAGGCCAGGCCAAAGGGGCCAGGCCAGGTTTTAGAGTATGCCAATTCTAAACTACATAACTAAATGATTACACAAATCGGCGTGGCTGAAACTGTCAACATCAATTACTGAATTTGTATTTAACGTATAACATTCTGCTGGTATAGCAAATTCCTAAACGTGGGACTATATTAAGATATGAACATTACAAGTTGCATATTATGTAACAATGCAAACGAGGTCTCTACAATTACATGTATATACGAGGGTTCATCCAAAAGTAATGTCACAACTTCGATAAAATTTCTCCTAGTCGACGTAAGTTAACAAAACTTTATATGATTGAAGCTATACTTATTTTAAATCAGTCCTGAAAAATTCAAATTATTATGATTTATACTTTTCAAAATATCGAATTATGTACGAAGTGCAATTATGGTAATCGCCGCACCTAAATAACGTCATAAAACGGATATGCGCCGACACACACTTTTAAAAACGCCTTCCATTCGTTTTATTAAAAAAAAAATGATATTCACAAAACATTCACATATTTTATTTTATTTAAGAATAATTGGCACCAATTGTACATTTTATCTATAATTTAATCCTTCATCAAAATTCTTTGAACAATAGCATAAGACAAATTTAAAAGTGTCTTATATTACTCAAACTGCCACTAATCTCTTTTGAGACAACGTCGACGCCATTGAACGTTTCCACCCGACCTCCTATCTTTCGGTACATATTATGTATTTCTGTCCCCAAATGATCATTTATTTACCTATTACCCGCTCAAAATCTCTGAAACCATCTATGAACAAGTCTCTCGTTGACATTCTTTCCTCGGCGAGTATGATTTACCATCATACCTGTTTCTACTTGTGATTTCCCGATTTTGAAGGAAAATACATTACAACTCGTTTTGGTGTTTTATTCCATATCGACATTTTCTTTCTGCAATACATCATATAAACAATACTGTTTTATTTGAAAAAAAAAGAATGCTGCCATTTAATTTTTAACTAAAGATTAGAAAATGTCGTAAATTTTGTCTTTTGAAATATTGGACGATTAGACGATTTTTTTAGATACTTTTTAATGTCATTTTTCATTCTAACAATATTAACTTTAAAACGTGACGTTTAGTTGTGACGCGGCGACACCCCCTAAGTTTAATGTTTTAAACATCTATAAAATCAACTCAATGTACATTATTAAATGAAAATTTCAATTTTGATTAGATTGATGTTGATGCATCTTTTGGTGCATTACATTTGATAATACGACGTCAAATATTAAAGATATGGACACAGTGACATTACTTTTGGATCAACCCTCGTACTATGGTGTGCGGATAGGGCCATTTGCAAAAGCTCAAAAGCGTGTTCAGACTTGCCGACGCGCTAACACACAACACACTGTCACGGTAACACAAGTTCGCACAACACGCCGACGCGCTAACACACAACTGGCGAAGACGTGTAGTGTGTTAGCGCGACGGCGTGTTGCTTGAAAATCGCGTTAGCGTGACAGCGTGTTGTGCGATCTCGTGTTAGCGTGACAGCGAGTTGTGTGTTAGCGCGTTGGCGTGTTGCTTGAAATCGCGTCAGCGTGACAGCGTATTGTGCGAACTCGTGTTAGCGTGACAGCGCGTTTTGTGTTAGCGCAACGGCGTGTTTTTCTAAACGCGCTGGTGAGCTTTTGCAATTGGCCCTATCCGGACACCATAATATACAGTATATATCAACCGTAGAGAAATAACGTCTTTATTTTTCGTATTACCGCGTTATGTATATTGCACAATTTTACTTTCTCTATTTAAATAGGATTTGTCGTACGTATTTATTTTAAAATGACGTGTTCACATGTACATATATAAAAATTTTTAAAAAATAGGGTTAAATGTTAATTCATCAAAAGACCTAGCAGTCTATAGAATATTACAAGATTTGGCCCTAGCAGACGAGGATAATGCACGATTTACAATGTGCCAAGAATTTTCCCGCTACAACTCAAAGAAACTGAAAGAGAAGAAATGTAGTGGCGGATCTAGAGGGAGTCTAGTTTTTTCCTCTAAGAGAGAGCAAGGAGCCCCTTATATTTGTTGCGTTTTTATTACATTAAAACTACACTGTATATCTAGTTGTAGATTACATTAAACTTTAGTAAGTCTTAAACTTTTAATGTGAATGCCTCTTAATTATACAGGCCCACGGTTTGTTGAGGACCAGGGGTACTTTGCTTATATATACATGTAATACTGAACATGCATTATATAATTAAGAAAATCATGCAATGTCGTGCACAAGCGTGAAATGTCACCAGGATATATAGTAACAAATAAATATAAGATATTTTAAAAACAGATCACCATTTCAGTCTTTAAATAGTTGCTTCATAAAAGGAACAATTGGTTTGCGGCCAATTTTTGACGCTTGCGTCAATATATGTTTCTTGTGTCTTTTTATTCAGTATGAATTTTGATATAACTTTAAGAGTTATCTCCCGTTTGTATCAAAAGTTCGTGTTTCGCTATTTATAGCAAAAGAGCCATGTGAAGAATGGAGAAAAATCGGCAATAAAAGCAGTTTAAATATGAAAGGAAAAGAAAATGTGTCAGCATACTGGAGGCAGAGAAAAAAAATAGCCTAAACACATCTTGATAAGCAAGATTTTGAAGAGACTTTAAACTACTAGGTAAAAATTGATGAGGGAAATGCACCTGGTCAAGTTTTAACGATTTCCACTGTATGTGATTTTGTATTTAAAAAATATATAAATAAAACATTGTTGGCAGAATTTAGAGAATAAAAGTGTTAAGAAAATGTTAAATATTAAAACCATATATGTTCAAGCCCAGACTTTTCAGTAGAATATTTATAGATTTTTCAAATATGACCTACTTCAATGTCAAACATGTGAAGTCCCAAGAACAATCGAATTTTTTAGAAAGGTGGAAATCTGTGATATTTTACAGAAATTTTTAAACAGAAGGATTTGTTGGCGAAACTAAAAAGTATTTGGGGGAAAGGCCTATGAGAAGTCATACAAATCTATTTATATAGGTATTAACATAAGGACAAATGTGTACGAAAAGTCCATCTTTTCTTGATATTTTCAATTATAAAAAATAGAAAATAAAATCCGCCCAACCGCCCTAATTTTTTTTGCAAATTAGGATGAGAATCTAAAGATTAACTTTATCTGGCCTTAAATTGGTAAATATGTACAATCATGTAGATTAGAATTGTAAAATGAACATCTGTAGTACGTGAAGTAATTAACAGATAGATGCTTGCTTTTAAAAGTAGGTCATGAGCTGGAAAGTGAAAGTATATATATACTCGTATTGAAAGGTAACAAAAGAAATCTCATAATAATATACTGAAGAAAAGGCGTTTCCCTTTCTTTGTTGACTTATCCTGAATAAGTCTATGATAACAGGAAAATTAAGGCTTTAATGAAATGGTGGGTTAAAAAAATACTAGTAACACATTTTTCAATACAAATACACAAACATCTGTACATGTACTGATCGGTGTAGTCTCTTTTAAAACGTATTCACATATACATGTAGGAGAATTGCATGAGTTAAAAAGTCCCCAAAACCTGAGTCAAAATTAAACCTTGTCAATTTTAAGATACTATGGAATTCTTACTGATCTCATCTTTCTTTTAATTTTTTAGGGATATTAGTCCACAAGCCATTCATTAGTTCTGACAATGAGTAATATAACAGACTACTACAATAAGGTTTGTAAGATGTACGACAAGAGGAGACGAGTAGCGGACGCCTACGTTCACAAATCCCTGATGGAGAATTTTACCGGAAAGAGCATTGGTGTAAGATATAATGACTAGATTTGGAAGTTTTGTAATGTTGATATGCACCTTCAAAACGAACATATAAGAATGGCATAACTCAATGCCTGTTTACAATTTTGCAGACTTTATCTATATTAGTGGTAGATCTATATAATAAATTGTAGCTGTGACATGATATAAGTGAAAGGGTAACATGAACCTAAAGGAACCATCATACAAATCAAGATCATCAATCACAGACCTTCTTCAACATGAGAGGTGGGATTAAGTGCCATGGATGTCTGAGCATCTCCTGCCGACAAATCACATCCGCTGTGTGCTCTTTGTCATAACCAAGAAAGAACGGAAAAACCCGTCGACAATTCAGCGTGTCAATAATGTTCTAACAGTTAGTCTGAAAAACGTCAGTCAGCATTTGACTTAAATGATTAATTGTATGATTGATGTGACAAGGTCATTGTATCGACCATAGAACTTGCGAAATGATAACTTTAAACGAGACTGCTGATATTCTTGTTTCATCAATTTGCCTGTCAATAATTAAACTTGTTTTATGCTCTGGTTCATGCTCTGCACAATGAATCACCCAAGAGATGTAAACCCATATGCAGGGTATATTGGTGACGAAGTAAGGGAAGTTGAGGATTGAAAAGTTGAAGTCACCACGGTTACCACTGAGCTTTGTTGTTAGGTTACCATCAAACGTCTATTTCGAGTAAAATATCTAGTACGAAAAAAATGTCTCAGACTAGTGGTATCTTAAAATTCAGGCTCACTGGGACATTTCGTGTTGATATTCGAATGGAATTAACTATTGTTAATCTATAATAGTCTTCTATATATCTTAAATGTCAAGTTGAAGGCACGATAAATGTTTCTTCTTCTCATGTGTAAGATTTTGAACAAATGTTGCTTCATATGAATACAAATATAAGCCATTCGTTGCGAATTTCCAAGAGTATACTTTAAGCTTCTGCACAGAGTAAATAGCGCCAAACGGTGACTGCAAATAATGAGTAATTTGAAGTCATGGATTATGTTGTATGATTGATTGGTTGTATATTGTTGAACGTCCCTCTCGAGAATTTTAACTCATACGGAGGTACTGTAGATCACTTTATTTTCGCGACACCGTCATTGACTCTTTATTAGCGAGACAAAATTTTCACGATTTGTGGTCATTGTTCTATATAATATTAAGGAATTTTTTAATACGCGTGGATTAAAATGATCGCGAGCAAACCGTCTCGCGTAATTACGCAAAAATAAAATTCTCGCGAATAAAAAGTGATTTACAGTACCACCACTTGCCGGTGGAGAGCTGCAAATTTTGTCTTATACTCGGCTATAAGGGGTATTGAACAGGGAGGGATCTTTTTTCGTGCCAGCACCTACTAAGACATGGGACCTCGGTTTATACAGTCTCGTCCGAAGGATCGGTTTCGACGTCCCACAGTGGGATAAACTCCTTTCTTTGCGACTGTAGACCAGACGCTCTAACCCCTATTTGTCACATTGGCGACTATGTAATAAACGTTTAATTTTTCCTCATTTTACAGGACATGGATATTCTGGACGCTGGCTGTGGGACTGGAAACTACGCGTGTTATTTGCTGAACCACGAACCCCGCAGTTTGACTCTTGTTGACGCCAGTGACGGGATGCTTAGCGTGGCCAGAGAGAAACTACAGTCCCCAAATCTGAAGACCAAGCTTAGCTTCAAAACAGGAGTGCTTCCCAATATTCCTTTTGAAGATAATTCTTTTGACAGCGTTATGATGAATCTGGTACTTTAAAATTAGTTTTCTTATTCTTATATTTTTTCCTCAAATGGTCTTCTTAGGCATTCTTAACATACTGCTCAAAATTTTCCTAGAAAATTGAAGCTATTTCACATTCTTCTTCGAGATACCGTATTTCGTGTTATGTTATCACTCATTGAAATCTTTTCCAAGACTTTCGTCGTTTATCTCAGCAATACAAAAGTCATCAGCATGATCAACTGAATAATCCTCAAAACGTCAATATATTCTACATTATTAAAGAATACTCTTTTTTCTAACAGTATTATTATATTTATTTTTTATGATTATATTAGGTACTACATCATTTAGAGATAAATCCTGATGGAAAATCGTATCCAAACATAGCTAAAACGATTAAAGAAGTTTATCGAGTTTTAAAACCAAGAGGTGCGTTGACCGTTACCACTTTAACTCCTGAGCAATTTGAGGCCTACTGGTTTTGTCATTTGGTTCCAGGAGCAATGAAACAATACGCCAAGAAATTCCCCTACCATAAGCAGATGAAAGACATGTTGACCGAGGCTGGGTTAACACTGAAGACGGCTCTCAACATGTTAACAACAGATTATCACCCCGGACACGATAATTTGGAAGGACCATTACAAGAAGATTGGAGGAATCATTTATTATTTTGGGACACGTGCTCTGAGACCGAAATTCAAGACATGGTGCAGAGAGTGCAGAAAATGAAGGAGGAGGGAACTCTGCGTGACTTTTATAACACTCACGAGAAAACTCACATATTCGGGGCATTGCAAATTCTTGCCGCCCAAAAATAAATGTTAAATGGTCATGTAGTTGAGCTATACAGGTTGTTGATGAGCATGCACTGTAAGATCCTCTTGAATTTGAATTCATCGGTATATTTTATAATAAAAAAACCCCCCACATTATCGTTTTAAGGTAGGACAAAACACCCGTGGATTCCATTTTAACCAATTTCTTGAAAGTACCGGAGAAAAAAAGAATAAGATTACTATATTGACAACAATGAATGATCCCTGTAAGAAAAATAATAAGTTTTGGCATGTTTGCGTCATATTTTGTGAAAAATCAGAGAATCCTATATGTTGGTCACTTGCGGGCTTACATTTTGGAATGTTTTTATGCTAACTAAGTGTAATAAACAAGCATGTAACAGTCTGTTTTAAAATGCAGTGTAACTTTTGTTCCAAACATAGTAGAAGAATGATATTTGGACACATATATAAGGAGTCTCCATTCTTTATGTACTACAAAGGTCAAGGTCATAGCAAGAGGTCAAAGGTCAAATATTGTGACGTCATCTACTGAATCCTCTAGTTTTTTTGCCATTAAAATTTTTTTAATAGAAAAAAATATCTGAAACCACCGGTTCGATTTTGTTTATTTTTACACATTTTATTCAAGGACCTATTTGAATCATTCTGTTGATTTTATGTAAAAATTGAATCATACATTTTCTCTTAAGAAAACTTAAACTGTCGGATATTTACATATGAATTTTCAATTCCGACGCTACGTATGTTCTAATTTTACTTAATATTTTACTCAAATTTTCCAGTATCAAGTTGACTTACTAACTTAAAGCAACAAAAAGGATATATTTATTAAAAGTATTACACAAATTTGCAATAGATCAATTGATAATTCTAAAATAAGGCTCATTCTCAAGTCTAATGTCTGATTTCACAATCTTCTTACAGGTGTCTGATAGGCCATATTTCAGACTATGTGGGCAAAAAATGTGCGGTTGAATTTTCTTCATATCATATATAAAGAGAGATTTTGTATCCTAGAACAAAATCTCAAAGTTTCAGGAAAATTGAATATGAGGAAAAAATTGGCCTATCTATTGTGTCTTACCTTAAATTGTATTTGATTTATTTCAGTTATGAATTATAAAAACGTGTTACTTTTTCAGATGATAGCATAGGTGTCGGAACCGGAAGGTAGGGGGGCTTAGCCCCCCACTTTTTTCCCCAAATATATACTTAGTTTAGACATTGAACATTGCTTCGTCGGTTTAGCCCCCCCCCCCACTTTCCACAGAGACGTCGCAGTATAGGTTAAAAAAGGGTAAAAATGGGTAAAGTAGTGGCGTTTGGAAAAAATTTTGGTACTGAAGTTAAACCCCCCCCCCCCCCAATAGGATTTTCGTGTATGGGAAATGGAATTTTTTTTCTTTTCTCTCTCTTTTTTTTTGGCTTGTCAGATTTGTTTGAAGGTATAATTTTTTTTAGACACTAAGCCCCCCCCCCCACTTTTAATTTGCTTCCGACGCCAATGGATAGGGATAAACTGTAGTGTATTTCTGGACGACGATTTTCACAAACATTGGTAAAAGGTGAAAAGGGATTGGGGTATTATTGTTGCATAGCATTGCTATTAAACTCGTATTACAAGTAGTAAGTAATGTTGAAGCGTGGGGTATGTGAATTTTAAAAAAAAAATCAACGATTTAAAAATTTCAGTTTAATGAAAGCTGGAACAATAGTATAAAGCAAATATCCTATAAAATTTAGAGTAACATAATTAATTCTTTTATTACAAATAACTGTGAACATTGTATTTCGCCACCTTCAACGCAATGTTTTTAACATATTTATTTGATCTACTAAGATAAAACTACCAATTATTGTCTCCTGCTTGAAAAGTGGGGGATATTAATTTGGGTTTGTCCGTCCGTCCGTCCATCCGTCTGTCCGTCTTTCTGTCTGTCGGTAATGCTTTCGTTTCCACACTATATCTCGAGAACCATTTGAGCTTTTGCAATGAAATTTAGCATAGCAACTCCCTATGAACTAAAGAAGAAATCTTTTGATTTTGAAGTCAAAAGGTCAAAGGTCAAGGTAATAAATAAGCAAATTATGTCTGTTATAACACTTTCGTTTCCACACGATATCTAAAGAACCATTTGAGCTATTGCAATGAAATTTTACATAACAACACCCTGTGGCCTAATGAAGACCCCTATTGATTTTGAAGTCAAAAGGTCAAAGTTCAAGGTCGTAAATTGATACATTCTGTCTGTGTGTAACACTATCATTTCTGGGCCATATTTCAAAAAGATTTTAAACTTATGCAATGTAATTTTATATCAAAACTCCCTAGGACATCTCTCACCCCTCTCAAAGTGCACCGCGCCGTTTGTTTTATTAGTATTTATAGTATTACATGTCGCTATTTTTAGCTCAGGGGCATACAGAGAGTTATTGCGTATAAAACAGCTTCTCGGCGGACTTGTTGTTCTTATTACATCTATTAGAACTGTTTAATAAAGGCTAAATAAATCAAACACCATGGATAATGTAAAATTTTGACAATACCGAACATGTATATATGCATGTATGTGACTTCACTTCTACATATACTTGACTTCATGTAAAGCGATTCCGTGGTCTAGTAGTATGTTTCTCTCTTCCCATGTGAGAAGTCCCGAGTTCAAGTCCCGGACGGACCACTCTTTTTTTTTTTTTTAAATTTTAGAAATACTTTTTTTTTTTAACTAAAGAATATTATTCAGCCCCCGAAATGAAAAATTTACGAGGTCTGGCTTGTACAAACTCATAAAATCATCATTACAGTGTGATAAATATTCCATATAATTTTAGAATCTTCTTTACACATAATAAAGAATAAGCAATTAAATCTTTATATCCATTATGGTATATTTGAATTTCTTCAGTATACATGCATGTATACATTTAATAATTCTACAAATTCAGTGAGGGGGATCCGACCCCCCCCCCCTTCCCCGAACTGCGCATGTTTTACTTTTTCCTTAAGCGGGGGACACAAATTCTCTGAATTAGCTTGTTTGAAAAGAAACTGGCTTGCATTTCTGGAAGCGTAACTGTTGTGGTGTGCTCACTAGGAAAGTTTTACATGTTCTCAGATGACGACAGAAGAACTCAGTAGTCTGATATTGCTGGCACTGCAGACAGGAATTCACTTACTTATTATGAATTAAAAATGGGGCTGCAGTGCTAGATCTTTAATATGTAACGCCACACCTAAAAAACGACAAGAAAACTCCCTATGTAGTTGTATTTCGGAAGGAAGCAGGTAGGCACAAACATGTAAATGCTTCAACAAATCTATGTATTTGGATGATAGCATCACTTTTGTCAGGAAGTCGATTAGTGTAAGGGGTATTTGAGGTAGGTTTGTATGACTTTTCGTATATTATTTGAAAATAATAAATGTAGTAGACAATCTCAGCATATGATAAACGAAGACAGAAGTATCCATTATGCATGTAGTAAATACAGAACACTTAAATCAAAAGGGGGAAATAATGATTGCTTTTTTAAAAAAAAATATGTTCACCTAACATTATATCCTAAAATCTCTAGGATGATGGATGTCTATAACAATTTAGGAAAGGCTGCATAAAGCGGTGAATAGTATATATGGTATGAAGTATTTCTCATTTGACATGTATTTATTGATTCTGAAAACTATATGAAAAATTCCAGAATATGGACCATGAAGACAAAAAGGCCTTTGAAGCCAACGCCCGAGTTTTCTCTGGACTTTCTGTATCACAAAATGGTATGTACTTCATTTAATTCTGAAAATTATATAAACAAGTCAGGCCTTTCGATTACTACATGTACAACAACTGGGAAGATTACGAAACGGTAACTTTTTTACATTAACAAATTTCTTAGAAATGAATTTTATTGTTCCACAGTGAAAAAAATCGTTTGTAGGTTTTCTATTGGTACAGTCATATTAGCCAAAGATCATAAACATAAGTTTTTTTGCTAAGCAATGCGAAGCAATTTGAAGTAATTGCTTTGCATAATCAAATATTTGACCGTCTGTATCACAAAATGTGATTTTTCTGGCATTGAAAATTTAATAAGCAAGAAAATTCTTTAAAGTCTTAAACTTTTGCTGAATTTAAGCAGATAGATCAAAGTTATCTTAGATATTCAGACGGAACATCAAAAGCGGGGGTATATGAAGTTAATTTTGCACACCACAACAGTTACGCTTCCAGAAATGCAAGCCAGTTTCTTTTTAAATAATTGGTAGTTTTATCTTATTAGATCAAATAAATTTGTTAAAAACATTGCGTTGAAGATGACTAGAATACAATGTTCACAGTTATTTGTTAAGAAAGAATTAATTATGTTACTCTAAATTTTGTAGGATATTTGCTTTATACTATTGTTCCAGCATTCATTAAACTTAAATTTTTAAATCGTTGATTTATATATATAAAAAAAATTCACATACCCCACTCTCCCACATTACTTTCTACTTGTAATATGAGTTTAATAGCAATGCTATGCAACAATAATACCCCAATCCCTTTTCACATTTTACCAATGTTTGTGAAAATCGTCGTCCAAGAAATACACTACAGTTTGTCCATATCATCTGAAAAAGTAACACGTTTTTATAATTCATAACTGAAATAAATCAAATACAATTTAAAACGATAATGTGGGTTTTTTTTATTATAAAATATACCGATGAATTCAAATTCAAGAGGATCTTACAGTGCATGCTCATCGACAACCTATATAGCTCAACTACATGACCATTTGACATTTATTTTTGGGCGGCAAGAATTTGCAATGCCCCGAATATGTGAGTTTTCTCGTGAGTGTTATAAAAGTCACGCAGATTTCCTTCCTCCTTCATTTTCTGCACTCTCTGCACCATGTCTTGAATTTCGGTCTCAGAGCACGTGTCCCAAAATAATAAATGATTCCTCCAATTTTCTTGTAATGGTCCCTCCAAGTTATCGTGTCCGGGGTGATTTGTTGTTAACGTGTTGAGAGCCGCCTTCAGTGTTAACCCAGCCTCGGTCAACATGTCTTTCACCTGATGATGATAGGGGGATTTCTTGGCGTATTGTTTCAATGGTCCTGGAACCAAATGACAAAACCAGTAGGCCTCTACTTGCTCAGGAGTTAAAGTGGTAACGATCAACACACCTCTTGGTTTTAAAACTCGATAAACTTCTTTCATCGTTTTAGCTATGTTTGAATACGATTTTCCATCAGGATTTACATGTATCTCTAAATGATGTAGTACCTAATATAATTATAAAACATAAATATAATAATAATGTTAAAAAAAGAGTATTTTTAATAATGTAGAATATATTGACGTTTTGAGGATTATTCAGTTTGTAATGCTGA